GGGGGGGAGGGTACACCAGAAGTTCTCTCTTATTACTGGACCGAATTTTACCACATTTTACACATAACAAGCATAGTAAGGAGTCTAAAAAATCCGCAATCAAATTTGAGAAAAAAGTTTCGTTTCCATGGATACGACGGTCATATTGGATTTTGTTGACTTGTGTTACGTAATGAATACCGCACTTATCGCTCATGGAAAGTGATTTTTTTTTTTGCATGCGTGTTAACAAACATTAGATCTAAAAATTTGGTTGTTGTTTTTTTCCTAAACGAATTAGACAATTTTTTATGAATTTTTTCCTAAGGTAGCATTCAATTTAAGTTAACAAAAAATACGTGAAAATCTACACTCCAGACACCACCAACAAAAATCTATTCCATAAAAAAATTCAACATACAAATGTTTAGTATTACATCTTCTCTTCATTCTGTGAAAATGTCAAGAAGATTAGATTTAAAGCGGTGGAGTTATTCAAAAAAGTATAGGGCCTAGAGAAAAGTGGCGTTTGAGAAAACGGCCGATAAAGAAAAATAAAATATTGACTTAATGAGGAAATGGCGGCGACAAACATGCCCAGTATAGGAAAAAAAATACGGTTTTTGGGGGTTCTTTTGCGATGAAATAGTTGTAGGAGAGACTGAGGAAGCTAAAAATGCCTGTAACTCAAATTCCATAATTTTGAGCCGAATATTGACTTTGAGGGTGAAGCACACACACGTACCCCCCCGCTATTTCCGGGGGTGCCTTTGATAGTCGAAGCCAATCTGGCCCCTCCTTTAAAGTCGAAACAGACTTTGTGCAGTAGAAGCTAGCCTAGAGAGGTGAGAAGAGTAAGCCTGACCCACAGAATTCTACACTAAGTGTAGAATTCTATGGCCTGACCCCCTGTTAAGACTTCTTTGTTGATATCCACCCCTTGGCGCTCATATGATGTGACCTTAATTATTTATGCAGTTGCGAGTGCCGTAAATCCTCTAATAAATAAATAAATAAACTCTTACTAAAACTGAAACTATGTTGATGAACTTTCTCTTGAATCAAAATATAATTCAGCGAAATCAGTCTGCTAGCAAAGACCAATGTTTACAAGATTACTGAGAAGGGCGAGAGCCCGGTGCTGGATCGATAACAACAAGACGAGGCTTGGGCCTGGCCTGCCGAACTGCCGATGCCGACATTTCTTGTAAAGCTATTTTTAGGATCAGGCGTCATCAATCAGCACTTTCTCGGAAAAAGCCGACTTAGAAACTGTGCCAGCGAAGTGGGTCTTGTTAGATCTGCGTCTTGGCCTAGTGGTTGAGAGTCGCTTTGATTTTCCTGCTCAAGTTGCCACAGAACTCACTGTGCCTTAGTCTAGATGAAATTATACAAAGTCCGACTTGTCATAGTCATAGAAAACAAAACACTCAAAATCAAAGCGGCGAAACTTCATGAATTACCACTGTGGCCAGAAGAGTGGGACTATGGGTGGGCTAGCCACAGTTCGCAAGGCAACCACAGGCGAGGTAAGTGTGGATCATCTGTAGACTGTAGGGTTGTCATCTTTTGAACTGAGATTTATGAAACCTCCTAAATATGCTCTAAGATCTATCCTCCTAGATTATGCCTTTTGTTGTTATTTTAAAATTTATATATCGTGGTTGTGCTGATCAAGTCTGAACAAGGATATAGGGCCTATGGCACGTCACATTAGAACTTCGATGCGTCCCGTGTCTGTTCTGTCGACAAATTGTACAATTACAATACTCTCTTGCCTACTCTGTTTCTAGAATGTTTTAGAATGGGAGTTCAATAGCCAAGACTAAGTTCAGCCAGCATGGTCCAGATCAGGTTTGTTCAATACTTCAGAGACTTTATATCATATTGTAAATTTATCAAGTGGTAGCCCCGCTTGATCACCATATTATAATATCTAGAGTAGAGATCTTCACCAGTCCAGGACTCATAGTGCAAAGGGGGGAGATGCTTTGTTTGACAATTTACCAAATATATTGAGCAGTTTTTGAGGAATGAAAACTTTTGTCACCTCAGGAGAAGTAGTCCCGGCTTCACTCCACATAAATTTTAAACACAATCGGAAACTAAAACAGAAGTTGAGCGAAAAAGCTGGCTGCGTTGCCAGAGGGAAAAGCCACCCAATGAGGAAAAAAAAAAGGTAGAAATTATGGAAATATCGAGTTTAAATAAAAGTTAAGAAAGGAGGAGAGACCAGGATGATAGATAATTGACAGGAAAGAAGGAGTCAAGGACACCAGAGCACAAGATGCCAACCAACCGCAATACGTTTTTAAAAGAACGAATACGAGCATGTGCACTTCATGGAAAATAAAAGGCTTTAGTTTTAGTAGAGGTTTTACGGCACTCGCAACTGCATAAGGTCATATGAGCGCCAGAAGATTAGAGGTGTTACAAGAGAGTAACAAACATAAAAAAGAAGAAGGGGAGATAGATCTAAGGACGATAGATGTTTGATAGGAAAGAAGGAGCAAAAGGCGATACTACCAGATTCGATTGTGGTGAAAGATAATTTTATCTTTCTTAACATCTCTACTTTACGGGGCATTTAACCCTATCCGTACGTCGCGTTTTACTGTCGTGTCCACACGATGTGGGGAAACTCTGTCTCTTATAAATACATTTATAATACCACCACCACCACTATCATCATCATCATCATCATCATCATCATCGTCATCATCATCGTCATCATCATCATCATCATCATCATCATCATCATCATCATCATCATCATCATCTTGTATACAGAGAATAAAAAAGGTTGAGACTTTTGAAGGATTTCCAAAATATTTCATAATAATATGTTCAACGTTTCGCCCTCTACGGGCTTCTTCGCGAACATTTAAAAAAATGATATAATTATAATTACTAGACTAGCTACGGAAACCAAAATGCATTAGCTACGGACACCAAAGTGCATCATCATCATCATCATCATCATCATCGTCATCGTCATCGTCATCGTCATCATCATCATCATCATCATCATCATCATCATCATCATCATCATCATCATCATCATCATCATCATCATCATTGTATAAAGAAGGTATTAAAA